GAACAAATCGGCGATTACTTAGTTGCCAATCCAATAGAATACACTTTTTATAATGTATGTATATTATAAAATATCATGAATCTAGAGAAGAGACAATATCACGAGACAAATTTGAAAAATGGGAAGCAGTGAATAGAACGTGGCATTCCAATTCGCAAAGTTTCTGCAATTTCCACGTTTCTTACAATATTGTTATTCTTAGAAATAGCATGGCAAATAGCATTAGCTTAGAAATAACATTCTCAGAAATAACATGACAAAAGGTCATCGAACAAAATGGAAAATACATTACAGATTAAACTTCGTTCCAAGTGAAAATAAATTTTTTATTTCATCGAACAAATCGGCAATTACTTAGTTGCCAAGCCAATAGTTGTCGTTTCGTCCAACATTCGTTTCCTGACGATGCGTTCGACTGTGTCGAATATGAAATATCTGACTTTATAATAACGATCTTGTTTTTTGATCGAGAAATGCTACAAATTGATTTCGAGACGATTATGGAAATAGATCAGTAGACTGCGAATCCTCATGCAAAATAAAAATTGTCTGTATTAATTTCAGGAAGCAGGAGTCGAATAAAAATGTATTACTGCTTTCAATCGTTTTGGTATATTTAAAACAATGTAACAATATTTTTCAATTCTTCTTACGTCTTTACAGTTTTGCATTTCGTATTACCACTTCTGCCATAAATGCATCAAATCCACAGTCTAGTGATCAGTATATATAGGGTGTTAAAAAAAAATTCGCTATTTATATGGTATACGGGGTACATTGTACTGAGTAAAAAAGCTTTAGTAAACATAGGTCGAAAGGTCAATCGTTTCTGAGATATACACATTTTTGTTTGCTAGTATCATGATTGACTTACTTACGAGGATATTTAAAAAGCCTAGTGTATTCCTCGTCTATAAATGACTTCGAAGAATTACGTAACTGTAACAGTGAATTGTTTTTAAATGACTTTTGTAGAGAAACATTTGAAAGAAAGTCAATCATCCAACACTGACATTTACGAGAAAGAATAAATCAAGAGAATCAAAATTTGAGAGAGAAAAAAAAGTTGTAATTGCACCAAATGCAAAAATAGCAATGAAGAATGAGAGCAACTCGAATGAAAAATGGGTGCAATAGCTGAGGCTTAACGAGTGGACACACGAAGGATGCCCTGAACGACGTGATTCGTACATTTGTTAGCACTGTATAACTGAAAAATCTGTGTGATCAGCTAAAAACGATATAATTTGTTGAAGAATTCGATTTACTGAATTGTTTTGTATTGAAGGTCACGGTGTTATAAGTCATTGGATAGTTCTTGATCCCAACTATTATATCGTGATGATAGAAACATATATATGTACAGTGGGTCACAAAAGTGTTCGTACACCTTTTAAAACGCAATAATTTTTTTAAGACTGGACCGAGTGACTTGAATTTTTTTTAGGTTATAGAGGGACTAGTCTACTAGACGATGATTGAAATGTCTTTTTTAATTTTGCTATTACCTCTCGTAGATCTCGATAACTCATATGTGCGCTGAATATTTGATCGAAATCGGTTAACTTGGAGTCGAGTTACAGGCGTTGAAAGATTGAAAAAACTGCAGATTTCTTGCACTTATATTATTATATATATTATTATATATAATATATATATATTATTATTATATAATATATTATAATATTATCCTTGCAACAACAGACAGAGTGCAACCCTGAGTTTCGAGTAAGAGAGGTTCAACAACAACAAAGTTCGACTTATAGAGGCGTTTATACGATGGTGAATTCTTCTACTTGTAAATGTGTAAGGAAAGATAAATTCGAGTTCATGAAGTTCAAAAACTCACAATGAAATAATCAATTTACGATCATAGAGAGCCAACCGTTAATTCTCTTGTGAAGATAAATGTCGACTTGCAGAGATCGGAGTTCTTCTGAATTTGAATTGTGGAGATAAAATATATAATTTAACAAGTTGATAAATGATCATAGTTAACTTTGACGTGTTAATTTTACG